TGTGATGATAGGAGCTCTCGAATTTTTTTGGGGCGTCGTCAGTGGCTTAGTAACTGAACGCTTTGTACAGATTCTCAAGGTTTTTTAACGTTTAAGAAGCGAAGAACAACAAAGTTTATAATTGAGTCGTCTATTATCAAAGGTGGCAATCTGTGCATTTGGACAAAAAAATGTTATTGATATGTCAATACAGATTGATTTGAATATAATCGTCTCCTTCAAAGAATACGGTTCAAAACCTGCATTAAATAAAGGTTAATACTTAACCTGTTATTTATCTAAGATGTCGTTCAGAAGAATTTTGTGACTGCCAATGGAATACAAAGTCAATAATTCGTTTTTCTGATTTACCAATAATTGTCCAAAAGTCACATTGCCGGCTTTGATAATAGTCGACTCAATTAAATGTCGGACGCGAGCACGCCGGACGCGGACATGTCCGTTCGAACCGCCTCAGCTGTAGCAAAAAACGCCGGAAACGTACTGTGCTTTAAAACTAATTGATAACGTTTCGCATTAACAGTATGCGACTTAATTAATAATTACTTATGTAAGTAGACATTATTTTGTTGTAGAGTTAATGGCATCTTTAAATACATAAACAAATTTACAATTGTTTTTTTTTTTTTTTTTTTTCGTGTCGATTATAATATCGTGAAATGTTCAACATCAAATCATTTAACAGAGAAACGCGAACGGTATTGTTTATGTATTTGAAAATAATAATAATTATTATTATTAGCTTTTTTTTTTAATTCGTTTGCTGTTATCGCTTTCGTCGTAATGTATTGCTAATTAATATTATTGAGCGATAAGTGTATTTTCATATTGTGTTGTGTTTGATTGCGAGAATCGGGAAGTGCACATTATGTACCTACTGTAGTTTTTTTTTTTTTTTAATAATTATTGATTATCATTTGAATTTTTATAACAATTAAACAGCTGATGAAATTAAAAAATTACAGTGATCTATAGTTCGATGGGTCCTCCATATGAACCGCCTTCACATTCAAACCAATCATTGAACCCGCTGTAAATCGATATCGGCTATATCACGTTTTTATTAAGCAAAAAGCTGTGTTATCAAATGTTACAATTCATGGAGGTCAGTATCCAAGGACCCCGATACGATCGTTTGAAAATATGAACTTAAGCACTCTAATAATAACTAATATATGGTATATTTATATGCATTACATAAATAAATAATATTGTTGTATCGGTAAGGACAAAGATGATAGGAAATATATTTTTTAGATAAGTGCAATTATTGTTGGTTCTTGGGTATCTCACAAAAGACAAGAATTTGTTAACACTTTTGTATGTTTGTAAATACATACATACATATTATATGTTTTAGTTTACAGTAGAGCGTACTTTAAAATGAAGGTCATATTGTAATTTTAGAATTGATTAATATAAGTAAATAATCTAGATGAGGACGATCCATCCAAATAATTTAATAGTATTTTTTGATGAAAACATCTCATTTAATAATAGTAAAATTTTCTTTGTTTTGAATGTGAAACTGAATATTATTTAAAATATATTCATATATCTGAATTCTAAATTTTGAAACCTCGAACAATATACATTTACATTGTCATAAAATTCTTAATAACGAATTATGATCACACAGTAACTTAGGGATTAGTGATTCCTGTGTAGTTCGTTTTTTTATCTCGAGATATCTAATTATCCAAAAATTTGTCGCATAGATCTTCTTGTAATAAGTTCGTACTAATTACAAATTGAAAGGTTGAGAAAATTAATATGAGACCTTTTATGCCTTTGATTTCGAGAAATATCTGTTCTCTTGTAAATCAGAAAAAAAACCACTTTGAACAAACTAGAAGCCGCCATCGTGCACAGAACTGGAAATTCAATAGTAATACTAGGATGTGTAGTTTTACAATACGCTGATTTACGTCACTCCTACCTATGACATATGCCGCTGCACATAAAAAAACATGACGGCGTCACATCTCATGCGAAACTAACGCGCTTAAGAGTGGAACGGTAAATGAGTCGTCTATTATCAAAGGTGGCAATCTGTGCATTTGGACAAAAAAATGTTATTGATATGTCAATACAGGTTGATTTGAATATAATCGTCTCCTTCAAAGAATAATGTTCAAAACCTGCATTAAATAAAGGTTAATACTTAACCTGTTATTTATCTAAGATGTCGTTCAGAACAGTTTTGTGACTGCCAATGGAATACAAAGTCAATAATTCGTTTTTCTGATTTACCAATAATTGTCCAAAAGTCACATTGCCGGCTTTGATAATAGTCGACTCAAATACTGAATTTATCTTAGTTTTGATCAAAAAGTCGCGTTAAGATTACGTTTGCATATTATTGATTGTACACATACGAAGTAAATCAGACAAGGTAATTTGCGATTTCCAGTGGCTGCGGCTTCAAGTTTATTAAAGATTTTGAGTAATATACCCCGTCTCTAGAAAGGAATGCTTTTTTGAAATACTATCGATGATGTTCATGTAATTGTTACTTTGAACTTTAGAGACTTTTAATTAACTAACAGTTATTCAGCAGCATTAGGTGAAATTGAGAAGGAAAAAAAAACATTCAGGATAAAAATACATTTACGTTGAATACTCCATATTATAGAAATATTTATCCAAGAGGGATGTTGAATAAAGTTTTGCATTTTTTTTTTAAATGCAACTAAAGACGTTACGCGCTAAAAGTTCTACGTCGAAATGTCGTTAAAATCAAGTATGTAATTTGCGTACAAATTAACGAGTAACTTTTTGTGCGTACAATGAAATCAATGAATAAATGGACCGTTTATTTTGAAAGTGGTGTAAATCCATTTTCTTTTGTTTCGAGAAAATTAAAGGTTACTATATTTGTTGATTTAAAAATACAGGCAAATCATATGAGGTCTGGCTATGCCACCCACCTCTGTCAATTGGACTTACACCACTTTCATAATCGATGATTATGCAATTTCATTTACCGACCGATTTTAAGTTGTATAAAACGTGGGATTTTTTTGAGAAATTAAACACGTACTAGTTATATATAAAAAATTTACATAAAAATTAAGCATGAATTACGTGATAGCTCATTTTTCTCAAAAATGGACTTACACCACTTTCAAAATACACGGTCCAAATGTAAATGTAACGCGGCGGCAAATTGATTTTTGTCAAAACGACGCCTTTTTTACTAACGAAATTTTAGTCTCTATTCTTTTTTCCTTCAACATCCCTATATGTCATAAAGCCATTCATTAGGTAGTTTTTTGTATTTAAATACAATGCAATCTTATTTTAAGATCAGTTTTATGATAAAAATGTGTATTCTGTCAGTCGTCAATTTAAATCGTGCTTATATTCCCTATGGCCAAAAAAGTAAGGTTGTTTTGCCGCCTTTTAGTTTTAAGAATATTTTTATTTGTTTATTATTTTATCGCAAATCATTTTCTACTCTGATATTTAATATCAGTTTACTCTGGAAATTTGAATAAGTGCGAATTAAATATTTTATTTTATGACGATTATGTACTGTAATTTTAGAAAACGAAACTTTTCAAGTCATTTCTTTGTCTACCAAGTTTGATGTATTTACTAGCAAGGTTATAATATCATTGAACGTAGACCTTGTTATGTTTTAATGAGAAAGTTAAATTAATTTTGGTTTGATTCTGACAATAATAAGACAGTTTGATATCACTGTAAATATAAACAAACTATAAATTAACTAACACTAATTTGGTATACATGTCTACTTTGGTATACATGTCGACTTTGGTATACATGTCTACATGGTATGTCTACCTAATAAGAACTTTAATTATAACTTAGCCGGGTGGTATCATAAAACTCTTTCAAATAAATTTATTTAAATTTTTATCTATGCATTTTTTATTGTAATCAAAAATTTGTAACAGTTTCTTAATTTTAGTGTTGTATTCTTGCACGTCACATGAAATGCTTTAATTAAAGAAAGGAATGGCATTTTATGTCCACAAACAAACAAATGGCTAATGAAATGACAGATTCCAAATTCTTTCGTGCAGGGTAAACCACATAAATTACGCGTACTTTTTTTTAATAAAGCGAATGCCCGCGATGTCTGTTATTGTATAGAAGCGTATTGATATGTAATAAATCGTTCTGATCTTAAATTATTGTTATTTCAATACATATTCACCTGGAATGGTTTGAATATGTTGAATATACCTTTATGTTTTATTTGTATGAAACTCCATATTGACAAATAAGTTTTATATTCTAGTTAGTTTGTAGAAAAGCATACAAATTATGGGAAATACCACGCGACTGCGTCAACCTAGAATATAATCATGTCTAAGCCGCCTGGTCTTTAATGATAATCAAAGTATAAATCCTATTTCATCCGGATTAGTCATCTCAAATCTATACCGGGGTTTGAAACAACTGCTTCCATTTTATTGCATACAGAAGAGAGTGTCGATATGTCGATAATCTTAATGTTACGGATTGTTTGGAACCTTCGAGTCTTCAGAGACAGTATTCGGAGTTTGGTGCTGAGATCTTGTCCTGTCATTTCCCCTTTTATCATCGAGTAATTTCATCCTTACTGTTTAGAACCACAGCGTTATCCATAGTGCTTTCAAACTATTTCAAAGCAACTTTTTTGTAACACGCCTTACATGGAATGGAACAGTGTTGCTAATCAAATGCTATGAACGTCATAGAAAGGAACGCAGGAGTCCTGGCTACTTTGTAATTTGTATAATAATAATATTAGTAAGTATTAATAAAAATACTATATCGTGTCTTATAAGGGTGTCGTCATATAAGACATTATTACTATCACTGTGAGATAACGACCTTATAAAGTATGTACTATAATTTCTTTTTGGAGGCTGACTGCGAAATAACTATCGATACTTAAATCGACTTATTACTCTTATAGTTGAATAATGTACTCTAGAAAAAATAGTTGATTAAACTAAGTGGCGAAGGAAAAAATAATAGACCACTTTTAGTACATAAACTTTATTTACTTTGTAAATAGTGAAAATGTTCATAAGGAAAGCTAAGCATCTTATAAAAATATCATTTTATACTTCACACCGGCTTCACTTCGGCAAGTCATGATAGCGTCTTACAGGTAAACAACAAGCTTATGTTTTATATTTGTTATACATTCAATTTTAACATAATATTTTTAACAATCATATTCAAAGCGCATATAATTGTGAATACATGTTTTATAAATAAATAAATAAAAAAAACATTCGGAATGCATTTCGATAACAAATTTATCAGACATAAAATGACACACAAAGCAATTTTTTTTGCACTCTGGACATAATCACGCACGCTACTTAATTTCTTTAATAAAAGCGAATATTGAGTAAGTAAGAAATCGTAACGCGAATTTAATCTGAAAAATAATAATCAAAGATCTTGGCTGCCGAAACACACATTAATACAATGTCAAAATCTCTATGATACCGTTCCGAAGAAGGACGTAAAGTGGCAACCCTGTTCACATAAATTTTCAAACTATAGCCTAATTTGTAAGCCGTCTTACGATAAGCAAACATTTACTCCAAATCTGCTGTAAAACGTTACATAAGTACAAAATCGGATTAATAAACGTAATCACCTCATTTATCGCAAAATGGGGTTTTACAGTTTTCTTAAACCAACGGGTAAACAAGAACTTACGCCAAGATCACACATTCGAGGGATACAATTTTATGATGGAACGTGGACTCAAGATTATCGATTTAAAGTTGCGATAGGACAACTTCATCGCGGTGCAATAGTAATGACTCCCATACTCGCGTCCATACCATACCATATACCGTTGCCACGCTTCGTATGCCGTCTCAGTACGTGTGGGAGAAATATAATGGTCACACATTAGACTGCGGGCTCCGTGACGACCGGCGCAACACGATCTCTGGACTTACTGTTTTTGACAGACATCAAAAGAGTTTAGAAGAAACTTCGTTGCAGCAATAGGTCTTATTCGATCAAAAGGACACTAAGAAAGCCAATGCTCTATACTTGCCAGATATTAGTCGCCCCTTTCCTACCGTTTGTAAGTAAAACACATTTTGCGAACCCGCTAATTAATTACAGCTCTCATTGTAGAATAATTTCATTGAATAATTTTTGTATATTTAATAACAAATATATGGTGATAGGTGTTTTGATTACACATAGACAATTAATATTGAATCAAAAAGGAATGGACACCCTCTTTTCCGGCCCATATATTCATATCGTCCACGACGGTAAGCTGTGGGTTTATAAACGTTTCGCTTTTTTTTTTTTGATTTTATGGCCTGGTATCTAGACCTTTAGACTAAACATGTTTCGTTTCGTATGAGTAGAGTTGCCAGCCTCGCGGGGCCGGGCGCGGTATGGGAGAGGCGATATAGCGAATGACATGTGACGTGTGAGGTGTGACGTGTGGAGTGACAGTTCAGTGTCCCGCTCAGGGCAGCGGCTTGTGCTCGGGGATAGGGGGCGAGGTGGCGCCACTGGCGTCACGCAGCGCCTCGTCGAAGCTCTGAGTCGAGTTCGATCTAGAAGCTACTTTACCCTGAAAATTTAAATACATTCTCGGCATTACAATTACGCAACATGATTTTTTTATCTATACTAATATTATAAAGAGAAAAGATTTGTTTATTTGTTTGTGTTGAATAGGCTCCGAAACTACCGAACCGATTTGAAAAATTATTTCACTGTTTGGAAGTTATACTATTCACGAATGACATAGGCTATAATCTTTTTTGAAAAAAATTAGGAACCTTTATTACAACTCCAATAATGTAACTCAAGGTGTAAAAAATTACCTAAAATATGCTTTACATCGCATGCCCTGCGAAAACTATTGATGATAGAGTAAAGTAATGTAGTACGACTTTGTAGAATACATTATCATTTACAAAAAGTGTCACGACAGCATATTTGTCACTATTATAGTTATGCCGCAATAAGTGTCCTTTTATTTAAAATAATAAAAATAAAACAACGTCGTTGAAATTTTTGTTAAAGATCCGAGCGGAGCCGGAGCGTGCCGCTAGTATAACATATCTTTGTTAAGTGGTTACTGGAACCCATAGACATCTACAACGTAAATGCGCCACCCACTTTGAGATATAAGTTCTGAGGTCTTAAAGTTCTAAGGGAAACGCATAACTGCTTTACGGCGGAAATTGGCAGGGTGGTGGTGTACCTACCCGTGTGGAGACTCAAAGAGGTCCTACCACCAGTAATTACGCAAATTATAATTTTGCGGGTTCTGATTTTTATTACACGATGTTATTCCTTCACCGTGGAAGTCAATCACGAACATTGATTAAGTACGTATTGGATTGGAAAAATTGGTACCCGCCTGCGGGATTCGAACACCGGTACATCGCTCGATACGAATGCACCGGACGTCTTATCTTTTAGGCCAAGACGACTTCATTATTTCGCATTGTTTGAGATCGTCTTTTCGTTGAAGCAAAGTATAGTAAAATGTTTCTATATGGAAACCACCACCTTTCCAAATATATAATACAAAAGTAATTTAATAAATCAGAATACGCCCGCCCATACGAAGCAAAATTAGCATTTCCGTTGCTATGTAATTTAGATTTAAGAATACTACTGTTTTATAAGAATGGCATGTAAGTTAAAAAGGTTAGCGAATAAAGGCTTTTATAAATAAATAGATGGGCCATGAGATGTTGACCCATTTGTGCAATAACAGAAACAATAACTGCACAGAACGAGGTATAGCGAACTAATTATACTAACTCAATCATTATATATGAATGTGGTATATTTTTATGTTGTGTATAAATGTATATATGTTTATATATGTATGTGAATATATATGATATTAATTATACTTAGTCGCCATAAATACTGTTAAAATTAAAAATAAACAAAATGTTACATTTGAATTTGGAATCTGTCATTTTTATATGATTGCTCATTGAGTTTTCTCATTTTGGCGCCAATACTTTGTACAATATTTTGCGATATTAAAATGGAGTGGGGTGATAAAGAGAACCGAATCGCTGTGATTGCAATACACCAAGTACTGTATATGTTAAGTATAGGTATGGAGCCAAATGCAATTTTTAAAACTCTCCATACGCTTGGTATTAGTAGAATGTTTGTGTACCGGGCTATTAATNTTACATTTGAATTTGGAATCTGTCATTTTTATATGATTGCTCATTGAGTTTTCTCATTTTGGCGCCAATACTTTGTACAATATTTTGCGATATTAAAATGGAGTGGGGTGATAAAGAGAACCGAATCGCTGTGATTGCAATACACCAAGTACTGTATATGTTAAGTATAGGTATGGAGCCAAATGCAATTTTTAAAACTCTCCATACGCTTGGTATTAGTAGAATGTTTGTGTACCGGGCTATTAATAGGTGCAATGAGACTTCCTCTGTGTGTTTGCAATAGATTTTTTTTTATTTTTAATTGTAACAGTATTTATGGCCAGACTAAGTATATAATAGATATGTGTAAATTTTATATTATTATTTTTATCATGATATAATATTGTGTACGTTGTTGTATGTGATGATGTATGTGTTTGTATATGTATGTAATATTATTAACAATTTTGTTATTTTCGCAATAAATAAAGCACCTACCACAGGACTCTACACCACCCTTGGTTGACTGGTTGACTGGACAGGCATTCTCGCCTCAGGCATTAAGCCCGCCATTGTACCATTGTGCACGAAGTTGAATATATAAATAAATAAATTACCTTGACGTTTTCATAAGCCGAACCGACGCGTTCTTCGATGGAGCGGAAAGACTCCGAGTTGCGCATCTGACCAAGCTTGCTGGAGACGCCGGCCGTGATGCCGCCGATGATCGAAGACGTCTTCTCCGCGGTCGTTTTTATCACAGATTCAGTTTTTTGGTATCTGAAAATATTGATGTTATAAATACTAGTGGCCCCGCAGTAGTCGAAATTCAACTATAATTAAATGAAATTATAAGTTTAAACATTATTATGGTTCTATTGTCAAACGCTATTATAAATCGATAATATAATCACAGTATTCGCCAAAACTGCACTATAGCTCAATAATTTTAAAGATAAACAATATTAATCTACTTTCAATTCGACCACAGACTTAAATAACAAAAGTTTCCCAATTGACAGTAAACAAAGAGTATATTTTTATATATGTGTTGTGTCAAATACATGGTAGTGTGTGTAATGTTTTCTTTATTGATTTAAAGTATATTTTATGCATTATTTTAAAAAAATATTAGCATTGTGCACTCCTTCTCTATATTCTCTATAAGTGTGAGAAATTTCATACTCCTCCGTCCGCGCAATTATCGTAAAAAGGGGTACAAGGTTTTTGCTTCACGTATTAATATATAGATTTTGCTTAAGAGCTAGCCGCTTACGTCGCATCACACGACACCCTCAATTCCGCGAGGCTACAGATTGTGTAATTACCTCACATCCCGTACACTACATTGATATAGTGATAGATTGTTTTTTAATCGTGTTTTTTAACCTTAATCTTAACGATTTTCTTATCGTTTTTCCAAAATAAACAACACTATCAGCTATAAAATTATGAACACTTAATTGATCCCTCATGTCATGTTTTATCCTTTACTATATACATTTGGGTCGACTTGTGCACGACGTGTCTATGGGTTCTGTTGAATACCAAGACAAGACCTAAGTCTCCCACATTTAAAAACAAACACATTACTGTACAATGAAAATTTATAACAAGTAAATAATCGCATGCGTTTCAGTGTTAGTAATGTGTGTAAAAATAAAATGTGTAAAGTTAGAAAACAAATATTCAGAAACTGGCAATAGCATTATATAATTAAGCACTACTATTTATTTAGTAAAAGAAAGATAAAGAAACACCCGCCGATAGAAGGAGATGCAAAAATTCACAGCAAGTTTCATGTTGAAAGAATTAATGTCTCTATGGATTACATTAACCTTATTGGTCGCTTCTTTTAATACGCAGTTTTTAGGTCTCTATATTAAATCAAGAAGCCGGGCCGTCATTCATCTTGTAGCTACTACTCTGTTGATTATATACTAGATGAGAAGCATGATCGAGAAACTGAAAAAAAATACCAGGGGAGCAAGGTATGCGGTGGAAATTTCGTTTAAAATAATTCATAAACGTAAAAGTATATTTTAAAGATCGTTTTAAATAAGAGAAGGGAATTTATTGGTATAATCTCAGCGTCTCTCACAAATGCCTTCATCAGAACAGATGTGACGTCAGAAATTATTATGTGCATTTCTTTTTGCCATTTGACTGTTAGGTACGCCCGTCACCAAATCTAAAAGAATACTTTCTGAATGTATTTACAATAATCCTGCCTTTTAGACTTTTGATAACATAACTTTAATACTTCCGTTTCAGGGTATTACAGAATAATGAAATTTTTAAACAGAAATAGCTTTTTGATAAATACGTGTTAGATAAATTTAATAGATGACTGATCCTCCCGATCCATTAACGGTGCTTTTAGGTACCTCAAGCACCGTTAGTCACCGATCACCGTCCATGCCGAACCCGTCGCTTGCGACGAAGGGCTCGGCGAGTAAATTAACCCATAGACACAGCCCACTGAGTTTCTCGCCTGATCTTCTCAGTGGGTAGTGGGTCGTGTTTCCGATCCGGAGGTAGATTCTGCGAAGCACTGCTCTTGCTAGGGGCTAGTGTTAGCAACACTTCCGGTTTGAGCACCGAGAGCTCACCTACACGCTAGGGCAACGCTCCTCTCAAGGCTATCAGCATAGATACGGGGAAAAAAAAGATGACTCGGTGGTGCAGTATTAGCAGTATAGCACCCCTGACTGTTGGGCCGAGACTCGTGGGTTCGTGTCCCACATCGAGCAAAGCTTCGTATTAACAGTATTATTTTCTATATATGTATATATTCAAACGTATATATATATATATATATATATTTAAACGTATGTATGTATGTATGTCAGTCTCTGATACCCATAACACGGGGAATTCTAATTTGGGGCCGGATGACCGTCCGTGATTTGTTTCCAGTTATTTAAAATTTAATAAATCCAAATTCGATTACTAATATAGTAATTATAGAAAAATTCCTTTATGGACCATCCATATTTTCCATCGAACGATTTTAACGCTACTGTATGTTATTTTTATTAGATATACACTTGTGATCGTTTACAACGAAACAATACTCTAGAAATGGGTGAACATTTAATTGGGAGACTCATAAATATATACATATTGCACGTGTGAAGATATCACACAGGGAAATATTGTTATACACAAGTATTGTTAATCTAAGGTTTAAAGTCTATACGTTTAAAAAATTAAGTAACGACACTCAAACAACACAAATCTGTGGTTTGTTAGTTATGATGAACGAACATTCATGGTTAAAAATTAAAATAAATAAATTGAGTATTTATTTTAGTGGTTCACTCCAAGCAGCATTTCCCTTGTCTTATACATACATATAAATATGATACTTGTAACAAACCGTTCAAATATTTTTTGCTTATACCAACATTTTCAGAATTTTCCAACGAATGGTTGAAAAGTTAGAGGGGGAATAGACCTATACGATATTGGAAAATGCATTTATTTTACCAGTTGTGAATTATAATCAAGAAACCTCAGTTTCAATTTAAAATAGATCTAGGCCTCACATGCACTCCAATTTCAATTGGAAATGCCAACCCTATTGGGTTTTTTTTTTAAAGGTCATTAATATTATGCAAGTCTTCTATTAAAATGGCTATGGCTTACGAACAGACAGACAGACAGATGATGCAACTTTATGCCATTCTAAAAATTTTCATTAAATTTATAATCTACGAACTATTATGAGCTTGACGGATTTTCGCCTAAAAACTTTTCTAACATCTTAGGTTAATCACTCCTTAGTATGTATTATTAATTAATGTATACAAGAGATAAAGATAGAATCCTGAACTGTACTTACATGGGTGTTTCGGTCACGGCATTTGTAAGAGCAGCCACACGATTCTCTATCGATTGATAGCTGTCGCATAACAAATCATAAGTGAAATAAAACTAGATGCAAAACGCAACCATACGCATGGAAAATGTATAAAAAACAAACGACATACTTTTAAACATATTTTTTCTTTGTAATTTGTGTCGAAGCTTGTATTAGAAGCGTAGTAACGAAAAATTGTTTTAACGTATAGATTTTTATGTATCCAAAGGTTTTCTTGCAGTTTAAAACAAATCTTACGACAAGATAAAAAAAAAAAAACATCCGTACCGAGCGTGCAATAAAAACATAATTTTATACATACACACTTATATATATTTACATAATTCGATAAACGTACTAATGAAAGCCATTCCCGTAAAGCAAGCACCAATATCGACCAACAGTATTTGCTGTAATTTGTACAAGTGAAATTAGTTTAATACTCACACTTGGCTTTCTTTGACGTTTTTCAAACCCTGATTGACGTCCTCGGTGATCTCTTTCCACACCGTGATGCCAAGTTTACGTTTTAAGTCCGAGCTTTGACGGATCTGGAAAAGCATACAGCCTTATGAAGATCAATTATCATATCATATTTTTGGGAATCGTATAATATATAAAATTATAATTATTTTATAAAAAATTATAATTTGCGTAATTACTGGTGGTAGGATCTCTTGTGCGTCCGCGCGGGTACGTACCACCACCCTGCCTATTTCTGACGTGAAGCAGTAATGCGTTTCGGTTTGAAGGGTAGGGCAGCCGTTGTAACTATACTTGAGACCTTAGAACTTATATCTCAAGGTGGGTGGCGCATTTACGTTGTAGATGTGTATGGGCTCCAGTAACCACTTAACACCAGGTGGGCTGTGAGCTCGTCCACCCATTAAAGCAAAAAAAAAAAAAATGCACGTTTAATTTGTTTTTTGACCGACTTCAAAAAGGGTAGAGAAAATGTTATCAATTCGCCTGTATTTGTTTCTGTGTGTTATTTTAGGCTTTTTTCTTTTTGTACATGAAAACAGATTTTGAGGATTCTTTTTTAATTTGAAAACTGGTGCTTCTCGTACGGTTCGATATAAATTTTATCAAGATCTGACCAGTAATGTTTGAGTTATTCTTATCAATGCGTGTTTCATTGATTTCGACTATATTAGATCATGTTCTAAGCGTATTTTGATAAAGTTAGTTTAAGTTTTTGTAAAAAAACTGTTTACTATTTATTAGGTTAAGAAAAAAAAACACACACACACAACAAACACGCGTTTGGGATAGTATATGGACACGACGATGATACGAAATGAAAATGAGGTTGGTAAGAGAATGTTTGCTATAAATGTGGAAGGATATAGAGGAAGAGGTAAGCCTAAGAAGAAATTGATGGATTGCGTGAAAAACAATATGTGTAAGAGGGGAGTGAGCGAAGAAATGGTATATGATAGATGAGTATGGACGAAGAAAACATGTTGCGCCGACCCCAAGTGACTGGGTGAAAAGCAGGAGAATGATGATAATGATGAAGAAAAAAAACACAATTACGTTTTATTATTATAAGTTACAACACGCAAAGCTTCAGACATCTTTAGACATCTTTAGGAACGCACTAGACATCACATAAACGATTTGTTTTACCTTGCTTTGCAGTACAGTTCTCAAAGTCGCAATTTCATCTTCGACACGGGCTAGCTCACGACTCCATTCGGCGCGTAGCTGGTCTGCCTGCTCGGGTGTGAGGCCGGCCAGCTCATCAGGAGTATGTATGTCCCCTGCCACTCCGGTGCCTGACATTGCTTCTTCAGCTGAAACAAAGACCTTTATAATAGTTTAATATTCACAAGCTAATATCTATTGCCTTTGAAAGTAACGAAACGCCGTTCCATATCTGATGATAAATGGACAACGTCGCTTATGGACATTAGCGATGCCACGGGCTATAAAACCGCTTAAGATTTTTCTAGACGTTGTTAGAAGACACGTGGACATTATTAAAGGTTGTTAAACACTACCAACCGCTTTATTATTCCAATGTTATTGAAGGGCAGGACTAATAGTGTTGTAGTGCCTTTAATGTCACGTCTTTGAAATTAACGTATTACATTTCATGCATATTAACTTCGATAAGTCACGTTATTTATATATAAATTATTTCTCATTTGTGTATCCCAACAGCAAATTAAATATATAAAGAACTCTTGTTTTACTCTAGATAAATTAGCCAAAATATTTAAATGTTATCACCGAAAATTGTAACGGGTATGATTTGAAGCGTGGGTAGTGAATGTAATAAATTTACAGTTTCATTTTTTATTTGTACATAGTAGCGTTTTGAAGTTTTCCGTTTTTTTTTTATTAAATTCAAATAAAATGCAAAGGTATATATACAAGCAGACTATAATAAATTAGAAATTGTTTTATGCCATTGTATAATTTACAATGTCGATATTTATTCACGTTTATATTTTTTTTTATATAAATCATACCAATCTTCTATAAAATTTTGTGTTAATTATTTACGTATATAATTCACGTATCTGTGGAGTCCGCTCAAAGGACTCCGAACTGTGGAGAGGTTAAATGATAAGAGGGGTTATTATTTAATTATATTTAACGTTTTCGGCATGCTTCATGTCTCGCTATTAATTCTGAAACGAACTACAACCGTAACCACCTCTCCTTGCTTGTAAATTAAAATATATTACATAAAAGCTTATGAGATAATCGATAAATTATTCCGAATCGAATTTCGGATTTCAATGTTGTAATTGATATTTTATCCATACGGCTGGAAATAATAAATTAAATAGTGGTATTTTTCAGTTCAATTAATAAAACCTCCATTATAATGTGAACATAATATTTACATTGCACTACAAAAATGTTTTTTCATAGAGCTTTTATACATTTCATTTTCGTTTAGTTTCCGACAATGATGTCTTGAAGGTTATACTAACTTTTAAATTACAACATTGAAAACTAACCTCCAACTGTTATACCTAAGAATTTTTTGTAGTTAGTGTGGCTTGACATTTTGGCAAGATAAGGCTTTGATAAATCCTGAAACGTGACTCTTACTTCACGCATTTTCTTCCTGAATATACGTAAGCGACGCCGCCGATTGTCCATATAAAATTCTGTCTCGATGCACAAGGCGGATTCAGCTATATCAGGGAGCGCACGCCAATCCGCATCGAGATCATTATGGGCCCAAGTTTGTAACTCTTCTAATTCGTCTAACTCGTCCACGGCCACGTCAAAACTTGGCGTTGAATCGTCATCTGGAGGCACAAAATACGGATCCTCCATGTACTCCAAGCTAGCAGGGCCAGCGCTTCGTACCGAACTTCCATGATTCGCCATCACCATTAACTGTCTCCTTTAACTTCAGTCACAATCTAGCATTTCCTAGTTTCATATTGCTTCATTTGTTTTGGTTCCGTAATATAATTACAACTCCNCCACGTCAAAACTTGGCGTTGAATCGTCATCTGGAGGCACAAAATACGGATCCTCCATGTACTCCAAGCTAGCAGGGCCAGCGCTTCGTACCGAACTTCCATGATTCGCCATCACCATTAACTGTCTCCTTTAACTTCAGTCACAATCTAGCATTTCCTAGTTTCATATTGCTTCATTTGTTTTGGTTCCGTAATATAATTACAACTCCGCAAGTTCACATTGAAAACGTATAATCGCAATAATATGCTACATGATAAACGATCTGAATGTTATTGTCACTTTGTACATTGTTTTATTTTCGTAAAACACTGCAGTGCGAGAAACGTATTTGTTATACGTGCGCAGCCGACGCTCAATGGTGTCAGTCTTGCGCCACGTCAAGCCCCGCCAGCAAGCAAGCCAGCCCGCGCCCGTCTCGCACCGCTGATCGATCTAGTGTTCACCACTTTCACCAAATCAGCGCTATGAATGGCAATTTAGCTTGGAATTATTAAATGACCTCCAAAACCACGAAAATCTAACTTTAGAATGTTTCCAGATACGCTAAAGTTGGACATGCAAATAATACTGTGAAACAAGTTTCGTCTGATAAATCCTAAATAAAAACGGATCTCACCTTGCCCCGCTAAAGTTTATTGACAGTGCCCGAGGCAACAAGACTGGTGGCGCGAGCACTGGATAATACATGTGTTGCGTCATTTAACTTCATTGCTGGCGATGGAACAAAAAATGTTCAAATTTCTCAACTTAAGATTGCCACAGTGTGACTCATCGCGACTTTAATAGAATTCGTGTTTTAGGTTGTTTGTGATTTATCTCAAAAATACAGATTTCAGATCTTATTTAAATTTAATATTTTTTTAATCAAACAGGGCTTTTGAATATGAAACGATAGTTTTAAGCCAGTGGCCAAAAACATTTAAATTAAATTTGCATTTTTAATTGACATAACACTGTATGAAATGATATTAAATTGCTTCAAAATTCAAATTGATCTATGTGAAATAGTGAAACATCAAACATTAAAAGTAAAGTTCGAAAACTATTATACAAGTTCCAACATGTATCTAACGCCATAGACATTTCAAAATTTCAATGTGACGTTTGAGAGGAATAATAGGCTGTGTTAATAGGCGAATAATAAACGTTCCAGATGCAACAGCTAAAGTCAGGATTTTCACTCTTGTAATGGGTACTGGAACTCAGATCCGAGGCAAGAAGAAGCGATACACAGATCCTGAATACCATATATCTATAACAAAGATTCTGACTCCTGACCTGAAATCGAATCCCATCCCATTTTAATCCCAAAATTTTAAATAATCCCACTTTAACACTAAACATACCATAACAGGTCAAATGACCCATTTTGAACTTTTGCATTGAAAATTCTCGTAACCCTTTGCACATTTGACTTCATGACTTTTTCTTAACAATTAATACCTTATCATAAACGGGAGTGGTCATTATCGTTTTATACAATTTAGATCACAGCATCAACAACAGCACAGACAGGCATTCAAACCAGATTGACACTATTGCGACTAGTAATTTTAAGTCTATTATAAGTTCATCAGCATCAAAAATCTCTCTATATTATAATTCAGTGACTACAACAGTGACAAATTGGAATCGCAATATTCTTCGACCTCCTTCTTCAATATAACGGCCTTATAATTAAACATATTTTTTTCGCTTCCGAGTCCGAGTCCATCTTATAGACTTAAAGAATCTCACCATATAGAACATAAGCTGAAATGAAATGGTAAAAATGTAAATCACGAACTTGCGATTCCAACTATTGGCATCAATGAATTGGATCTCAAGGCAATTCGTTTTGTTAAAAAAAAAGTATATTAAGATTATAATAAAGACGGCAATTTTACAACGGCATACTAGATATTTTTTTCGAAAATACTTATGGATACCGGAAACTGTTCCTCAAGGGACGACTTTCTAAAGTCCAAAACAAGCCTAAATACAAGAATCACTAATAAAAACCTAAAACATAACATACATGAGTATAATTCTGAAACCTATGCATTCGTTTAATCGCGGCGATGGGTTATTTAAGGCATTTTCATCGACACTAATGAATCTTATTAATAAAAGGTACATAATAATAAATAATGTAAAATAATCTTTTGTAATATTAGATTAATATCTGTTAGTCGTTAGAGTATGCAGAATTACATGCACCTAAATTTCAAAAAGTGTAATTGTATTAAATTTACAAGAAAATTCTGTTTTAAGCCACATATGTACTTCATTAATAACACCCCCTTTCAAGAAGTCAGTACTGCTGGGGACTTGGGCATCATTAGACCTGATAAATGACCTCCCGGCTTTCCGGTTTCATGAGCAGATAAATAAAAACATATAAGCAACCTAGTTTAACCATTCTTATTTACAATATGATCGTACTAAACATTTTGGAATATTGTTGTACAGTCTGGAGCCCCCGCTATCAAGTACGTGCGAACAGGATAGAAAGAATCCAAAAACGGTTCCTTTACCATCTCGCTTTTAATAATAATATCTGTCAGCAACTATAAAGAACGATTTTTATTCTATGAGATGCAGTCATTAAGCACACTACGTAAAGTAGCTATTTATTTTTATTGCTTAGGTAGGTGGACGAGCTCACAGCCCACCTGGTGTTAAAGGTTACTGGAGACCATAGATATCTACAACGTAAATGCGCCACCCACCTTGAGATATAAGTTCTAAGGTCTCAAGTATACTTACAACGGCTGCCCCACCCTTCAAACCGAAACGCACTACTGCTTCACGGCAGAAATAGGCAGGGCGGTGGTGCCTACCCGAACGGACTCACAAGAGGTCCAACCACCAGTAATTACGCAAATTATAATTTTGCTGGTTCGATTTTTATTACACGATGTTATTCCTTCACCGTGGAAGTTAATCTTTTTTTTTATGATTGAAGGATTACTGGTGGCCCGTAGGCCTTTCCAGTTTCACCAGGACAGGTGGGCGAGCAAAGGCTCAGCCAGGACGGGTGGGATTTGCTAACAGCTACCCGAGCGCCTCCGAAGGAGACCTAACAACTCAAGAGCAACTGCTTCACGAATGAATCTACTACCGGATCGGAATCGCGACCCGCTGAAAAGATCCAGCGAGAAACTCAGCGAGCTGATTCATGGGTTAGGTTGCACGGCGAACTCTTTGTCGAGTTCGACGAGTACGGTTACCGGGGTCCCTAAGCCTGCTCCTAGTGTTAGAACTGAAGGCGTCTAATGAAAAGGTTATTGGATCAGGTGGATCCGTAAGGACGTGTCTAGGGCGTCGACGGTGAATTGCTCCTGCAGAATTCGGGGGAGTAGTCAGCGGCGGCAACGATAAGGCGATTATCATGACGGAAAGTCAATCGTGAACATTTGTTGAGTACGTATTTCATTGGAAACATTGGTACCCGCCTGAGATTCAAACACATGTGCATCGCTCAACACGAATGCACCGAATGTATCGCACTCGGGCAGCCGGTTATGTAATCGGAAAACTTTCAATCTACCAAAAACTTAAAAGAAATCTTGGCCAGCACTCTCCTGTCTATCGTATGACTTCCCTAACTAATACTATACAATATACATGATGAAATCGACATATTTGTTTGCCATGCTTCTGTAGCTTCACTTAAAATGAATTTAAGATCGGCGATCCACACTGAGCTATAGAAGACATTTGATTTTATTGAAGATTAATTTCCCTCTTTTTTTTAAATTGTTGAATGTTTTATTTGCAGTTATTTTTTTGTTTCTCTTCGTTTTTATATCTATCTACATGGTTATTTTATCTATATACTTAGTCTGGCCATAAATACTGTTACAATTAAAAATAAACAAAATATTACATTTGAATTTGGAATCTGTCATTTTTATATGTGAGCTCATTGAGTTTTCTCATTTTGGCGCCAATACATTGTACAATATTTTGCGATATTAAAATGGAGTGGGGTGATAAAGAGGACCGAATCGCTGTGATTGCATTACAAAAAGTAGGTATGGAGCCAAATACAATTTTTCAAACTCTCCATACGCTTGGTATTAGTAAAATATTTGTGTACCGGGCTATTAATAGGTGCAATGAGACCTCCTGTGTTTGTGACAGAAAAAGATCTGGCCGTCCACGTAGTGTTCGTACGAAAAAGGTGGTCAGAGCAGTAAGGGAAAGAATTCGAAGAAATCCTGTCCGAAAGCAAAAGATTTTATCTCAGGAGATGAAGATAGCACCTAGAACCATGTCGCGCATTTTAAAAGATGACTTAGGACTTGCAGGATTTTTTAACTGATAATTTAAAAGAGAATAAGGTGGTAAAATCGAAACAACTACTGAAGCGGTACGCAAAGGGAGGTCATAGAAAAATTTTGTTTACGGATGAGAATTTTTTTACAATTGAGCAACATTTTAACAAACAAAATGACCGTATTTATGCTCAAAGCTCTAAGGAAGTTTCCAATTAGTCGACAGAGTGCAACGTGGGCACTATCCGACTTCAGTGATGGTTTGGTGGGGTATTAACTATGAAGGAGTGACTGAGCCATACTTTTGTGAAAAAGGTATCAAAACATCGGCACAAGTGTATCAAGATACCATTCTTGAGAAGGTAGTGAAGCCCCTTAACAACACCATGTTCAATGGTCCTTCCAGCAAGACTCGGCGCCAGGTCATAAAGCTCGGTCTACGCAGTCTTGGTTGGAAACGAACGTTTCGGACTTCATCAGAGCTGAAGACTGGCCGTTGTCTAGTCCCGATCTTAATCCGCTGGATTATGATTTATGGTCAGTTTTAGAGAGTACGGCTAGTTCTAAACGCCATGATAATTTGGAGTCCCTAAAACAATCTGTACGATTGGCAGTGAAAAATTTTCCCATGGAAAGAGTGCGTGCTTCTATTGATAACTG